GGTATAGCTGATCGTCTCTGCCTAATGGATCTCTTGAGTGGAGCTTCTTCAACCTCATCCTGCACCTAAGGGGCTTGAGGAATTTTATCAGGAATTGCATCAATAATAGGATCTTGGACCACAACAGGTTCAGTCTGTGGTGTAGGATGCTTCACATTTATCTGTATAGGTAGAGAAAAAGACACAGTATTCCCCACCATACTGTTATCTTCAATAGTCTGTAAGCAACTACCCTCTTCGACCACATCAAACTCCAAAAACTTCGCTGTATGTGATTTCACAATTCTTGTACCTCCATTGGGATTACAAAATCGATAGCCCTTCAAATGATTTGGATAATATACAAAGTAACACCGGGTGCTTCTGGAATCCAATTTCCTTAATGTTGGATTATATAATTTCACTTCTACAAGACATCCCCAAACTCTAAGATGATTCAAGCTAGGCTTACATCCAGTCCATAACTCAAAAGGAGTCAATGGAACAACTTTAATAGGAACACGATTTAATATGTGAAGAGCTATTTTTAAAGCTTCACGCCACAGAAAACCAGGCAAGTTAATGCTACTAATCATGCTCCTCATCATATCCATAAAAGTGCGATTGCGACTTTCAGTTACACCATTTTGTTCAGGACTCTCAGGCATAGTAAATTGAGCTACTATCTCATAATCCTCCAAGTATTTCGCAAATGGTCCTTTAAGCTATCTAGCATCGCCTTGCTTGTCATAATACTTACCACCATGGTCAGATCTGACAACATTTATGACTTTCCCAACTGTTTCTCGACTTAAGTCCGAAAAATCTTAAACTTGTTAAGAGACTTAGACTTTTCCTTAATCAAATACGATAACCATATCGGGAACAGTCATCAATAAAAGTGATGAAATAAAAATTTCTACACAAGGTTGCTGAATAGGGTCCACTAATATCAGTATGAATGACCTCCAACCGATCAAAACTTCATACTTCAATTTTCTTCTTTATCTTAGTCATCTTACATCTACAATAGTCCACGCAAGTCTCTAGGTCACTTTTAAGAGTAGGTAAAATGTCGGCCTTTATCATCCTTTCCACTCTTTCCTTAGAGATGTGACCAAGACGTTTATGCCACAATGCATAAGACTGTTCCTTAGATAGGGGTCTTTTGAAAATAACTTTTTCAGTAGTATAAGCGACGTACATATCATTGGGAGATAAACACAATCTGTACAATCCATTGAACATATTACAGCACCCAACCTTATTCGAATTAAAAAACGTAGCAATAGTATTGTTATTTATTTCAAAAGTGTAGTCACACATGTCTAAACATGATACGGAAATTAAGTTCAATCTAAAGGAAGGTATATAAAATGTGTTCCTTAACATCAAATTAAAACCAGAATCTAGAATTAAAATGACATCTCCCACGAACTCGACGTCAACTTTATTGTTGTTTCCTACGGTGAGCTTTGATTCATTCTGATTTGGCTTCCTTCTGTTTATGAATCTCTGTATGGTAAACGCAACATGATTAGTTGTTTCACTATCTAGCCACCAAGAATAGGACGGGGCTTCTGATAGATTGGATTCACAAACAAATGCCAAAGAATCATTACTTGCATGCTCACGCTTAGACAACCAAGTCTTATATTTGTTGTAGTCTTTCTTTATGTGACCCTTCTTTCCACAAAAGTAGCAACCACCATCATCCTTCTTCAAGGATGTTTTCTTAGGACCCAGACTATTAGAATGACCAGCAGATTCATTAGTTGCTTTCTGAGTATGAGTTTTGAACCTCTTAGTCTTCTTATTTCTGGAACTAGAAGCATACAGGGCAATGTGCCCTTTCTCTTTCTTTAGTTTTTCTTCTTCTGCCACCACCCTTGCTATCAGGTCATTAATCGATCATGTCTCATCTTGGGAATTGTAATTAGTCTTGATAATCCCAAAATCAGGTAGAAAAGTATTTAAAGCTTGATGCACAATGCAAGCATCAGGAATAGTAACATTAAGAGCCTGAAGCTTTGTTTACAGATGTACCATCCTTAGAACGTAATCCCTAACTCCAGTAGAATCATCATACTTCATGTTGAAAAGTACTTGCAAGTGTGTTCCAATTTTAGCATTAGATGAGACTCGGTTTCTAGCCTCCAAAGCCTCCATCTTTTGTCTAGCAGTATAGTTAGCTGGTAAACCACTTTTCAAGTGTTCCTAAATGAACCGCTTCATTAACAGTAAGCAAATTCTATTGCTCTTTTCCCATGCAGCAAATTGTGCTTTCTAGGCTTCCGTACTGGTGTCAGTAAGATCTGCCGGCTTATTCCCAGTAAGAGCAATATGAACATCCGCCAACTCCATCTCCAACATAAAATCCTCTTTCCATTTCTTAAAGTTTGAACCCGTAAGAACCTCAATCGTAATGGAGTTTCCGTTTAAAGAGAAGGTGACTAATTTGAAACAAACAATGTTTATAATTAGCATCATGTGAGAACTGTGTAACTTGAAAACCTTATAAGTACACATCCTGAAAGTTACATACATCATCACATAAACACCTTTGGGTAGAATACATGACATGCAGTTATATACTTTCCACGTTACAACGGCCATGATAATTATTCCATCCTTTGTAAATTCACCACCTTTGGGTATATGAGCCACTAGGATCAGTCACTTCTCAACCATATACTATACATGTGTCCCTCCATGAATCAATACACAATCACCTCATTTGGGAGTATGACCACGCACTAGAACAGGAGACATCCCACCACAATATGAGACCGATATTTCTCAAACCCAATTAAGTGTGCCACTTTAGCGGTCACAACCCAATTGAATCCTTGAAACTCTGTCATACCAAGGATATAAGCTTTATGTCTCACATTCACCATATACATGCAATTTTAGACTTGAAGATAGGGGCAATTTGTCACTAAAATCATATGTCATGCCAATTACATTGTTCCATTCATTGATAGACAATTATACATACTTTACATGATAACATTCATGTGAGCTAACATCTGTATTTCCAAAACCATACAGAAATACATGAAAATACTGAAAATTACCCTAAAAATAGACGTATTTTCACATCCATAAAAGCACCAAACACATGAAATAAATATACCACAGTATAGAGAATCTCAATACGAGAACATAGATACTAAGAACGCTCCAATCGGAGCTTGCACGCGCCCTCATGCGCCTCCTCATTGCGCGGCGTATGGCGTGGCGCGTGAGGCACACGCGCCCCTGTTCATCTGGCCTATTCGCCTGTCCGACCGCTAACGGTTCGACCGGTTTCTGGTTCGACCGGGTTACGATCCGACCGATTGACCGGTCCGATCAATAGGTCGGATCTCCGAGTCAGGTCATCGGGTCGGGTTAGATCGGATCATGAACTTGTTCTCCCGGGACCTGTCTGCTGACGTCATCAACGTCATGATGACGTCAGCCTTAGCGCGTACCTTGCATGTGCTGGCGTGTGCGCACATGGGCGCCACACGCTGCCACACGCCACCGCCCAACAGCTCGTGGGGGCGCGTGCGGCTTCCCCCGATGGTGCGTCGCATGTTAAAATTCTTGTCTCGACGAGTACATTCCGAATATGGCAACGTTAATCGAGTAAAAGAAGTTTGTGTACCTGATTTGGAATCCATCGTTTCTTGAATACATAATAGCAACGATCCTCAGAGCAAGTCTTCTCCTTTATCACCTACTGTATCACTGGCTTAATGAGACTGCCTCTCACAAACAGCGTTTGCTCCTTACGTGAGATATGTGTGCGTTAGGTTAGAAGAGGGACTTGAACTCTATTTATAGAGTTTTAAGCCAAGCTCTCTCATCACGGGCCGGGCCTTACTCGGCCCACACTAGCTAATCTCATATTAGACTAATTAAGAAACTTTATATCTGATCTTATTAGACCAAGCCCGTAAAACGATTAATTGCAATCTCAATTAACGTAGCCCATATCAGAAAAACTCTTACATCATAATCACCACATAGATCCTTTTGCCGGCGAAGTTGTAACATCTCCGGTAAAGCTTGCGAGTATGCTTCCGAAACTAAGTTGTAGAATCGCATGGAGACAGCCAAGGAGAGACCCCAAAAAGCCCTAGAGTTCAGTCTTGACTTAAGAACAAATACCCAAAGGTTTGGCAAAGCCTCCTCTCCCAAGTTCCGAATTCATCTCGAATCGGGGCTTTGGTCCTCCCGTGGATTAATTTCACTTCATGTCTTTCAGTCCTCGGATCAGAATGTAACTTCCAGAGTTCGAGGGGAAAAAGACGACGATGATAATATTGTTACAGTAAAATAGTACACTGAGTTCAAGACAGATATAGGACATTTAGTTCACGTAATTTCTGCGTCGGGTTGACTCACTATTCAATCATCACTCGAAACTCCTTTTCCTTAACATTAAAGATGAACTATATAAATGAATAGGTCCCTATTGGAATCCATTGCATTTGTCGTGTGAAGAAGCGGTTGACCAAATCAATCATTTAGTGAGATTTTGTAATCTTGCTAAATTCATCCGCAAGGGATTGAGAACCCCCCAAATGAATGGGACTGACGTGATCTAAGATCTACAAAATAACCTTAAAAAACAACAAATGCCTTTTGTCCACGGTATTGTTTCATCGATTTATGTTGTTTAATGTCAAGGAAGAAGGTGGGAAATTCACCCCTCAACTGCACATTATTCAAAGTTCACACCACCACAACAAGCAACAACAGAGACACGACAATGACCTTTTTGTTATTGTTTTTTTTAGTCAAAACCTTTTTGTTATAGTTGACTTGCAACTTGTTGAAGGTCTTTCTCTAATCCACGAAAACGACTTGAAATATCATGTAATTATAATAATCGTCGTTTGAATCAATCCACACGTATCAAACACTTCACACGAAATAGAAAAGAAACCAAACAGTTCACCAGAACCAATCTCTCTCTCTCTCTCTCTCTCTCTCTCTCTCTCTCTCTCTCTCTCTCTCTCTCTCTCTCTCTCTCTCTGTGAAAATGGCACCCCAATCTTCAATCCAATTCATCGAAGCAGCGCTACGGTGCACAGGACCTTTTGAGCTATCCTACACAGACCCTGACCAGAAATGGCACATAAGAAAAGACATGCTCTCACTCCTTCAAGATTTCCCCAACCTCAGCCCTTCCATGAACACCTACAACCACAATGATGGCACAATCGTGAACCTTCTCAATGCCTATGGCACCATCCATGTCTCCAGCTCTTCTCCCCATGTCCCGCTCACCATTTGGCTCCACGAGAACTACCCTTACGCGGCCCCAATCGTAATCGTGGGCCTGCCGGACATGGCCCCCTCCCCGACGATCCACCACGACCACCCCTTCGTCGACCCCTCAGGGCTCACCGCATCGCCATATATCCAAACCTGGCAATTCCCTAGGTGCAACCTCAAGGACCTTGTCCGCAACCTTGTAAAGATTTTCTCTTGTGACCACCCGTTTTCCTGTTCACCCACTTCTAGCCCCTTCACCCACCCTTCTATTGCCTCGAAGAAGGAGGCGTTCGATCGCCTTGCGGGGATGCTTCACTATGACACGATGGCCTTGAGGTCCAAGACCGATGAGGAGATCGAGGAGCTACTTGCCTTGCAGCAGGAAATTGTCCAGCGGGTCACAATCGTGACGACTATAGTCCAAGGGCTCGAGCGCGAGAGGTGGGAATTGAGGGATAGGGTGGCACGGTTAGCCGAGGAAGCCGATGTCTTGATCAACTGGTTGAAAGTCCACGACCCGAAACGGGCCGCAGCCACGGGGGACGACAGCACAGATGATGTGTTTGAAGGAGTTGATGAGGAATCCCAGTCGTGGCTCCATTGCCTGGCTGTGGATAGGTCTATAGAGGATACTATCGATGCATTGGATGAAGCAGTTGCAGAAGGGATTGTGAATGTTGAGACTTATCTCAGGCAAGTGAGGAATTTGGCAAGAGAACAGTTTCTCCACAGAGATGTGGTAGTTAAATTTGAGACATCCCAGCAACTTCAATAGGACTTAGTATAAGAATCTCTCTGGTAATGTCTTGCTTCTCGGTTTGCTGTGCATATATTTCAGTTTTGGAACGAGTCAGTAACTAAGTTTGCCTTCAATGGGATAGTTTTATTTAGTTTAGAGCCAGATTTTGTATTGGATATGAAGCCTTCCGACGATGTCGTTTCAGACCCTTGGTTAAGTGTTCTCATATGTCGTTTTTGAAAAATTCTCCTGTAAGTGGGGCTCATTCTAGACTTGACCTTGTTTGAAAAGGGCCTATAAACTTATTACTTTCATCTAATAAGTCTCCCCTATGAGGGGAATTTTGAGAAGTGGGCACCACTTCAGGGGGTTTTTGGAATTTCCCCCGTCTTTTTGTCTTTATGGCGCAGGCATCTGAAACCTTTTGTCGGACTAAACCTATAGCAATGAGGTAATGGCGATCGAATCGGTAGAATTTGAAGAGGGTACGATAGGGATTGCTGAGAATTTGAATCATATAATGTCGGTGTTGTAGTAACGAGCGACTGTTTCACAATACAAGAGAAAAGTTCTGTAAAAGTAGTAGGAATAATAATTTCTTTATAAATTTCGCCTTGCTCAGTTGGAAGAGGCATGATGTAGTTGTAGAAAGCAGAGCTTGCTTGACATCTTAAGAGTTTTTTATTCATAATGTTTGAAACCTGCCAATGTCGTGTTTGCTTTCCATTTTCACAAAAGTCGGCAACCAAGTGAAAATCTGGTCTGATACTATTTAATCGGATAACTTATGACCGGTTTGGTTGGTTTTGACCAGTGAAACAGTGCTAAGAAGATGACTGAAGAATTGACGGTATTTTGGCGTTCCAGTCCCATTCGTAAGACATTGCTACAAACCAAATGAGAAAATAATAACTCGTATTTGGCATATTTGCATAGCTAAGGTATATCAATGCACTTGAATAGAGGTGATCGATGGATGGGCTAGGCCGGGCCAGACCCTTGAAACATGCCAAAAGTATTGCCTAAGCTCGCCCTTCTAGAAAATAAACATAAGAAACGTGCGGGCTGAGTGGGCCTAGTTCGGGCCTAGCCAAGTCGGACTAGGCATTATGTCTATAGGTCCTTGTCCAAGCTCGCCCACAAGTACCTTAGGTCATTTCTAGCAACAAGCTGAGCCCACGGCCGAGCCTGGATCCGAATACTTGGCTATCTTTGCCCCTCAAAACCAGCACTCTTTTACTTATTTTTTACGCTAATTTAACAAATTAACATGCCGACTGCAACGAAGCAGAACTCCGAAAGATCACTTGAGTTAGGCATTTGAAATCGGAATATTAAAATGCTGAAAATCACGTCATAGTTTTTCGTGGCTTTCTACATGAATGTTCGCAAAAGTGCATTGTCCATACCATCACATTATAGTCGCAATTGGTCACTAGGTCGAAAACATCAATAGTTGACAAAAGCTGACCGTGCTTGCCCTTTTAGAAATCTAATCTCCATAGCACATTCTATGCAGAGTTGGATTAGTACAATCCTAAGATTCAGATATCCGACTAAGAAGATTATTACTTCCTTGTGAGGAAGCAATATGATATGACTGCGGAGCAGCCACGCAATAAGAACTATATAAAAGAGATAGTGCCTCGACAAGTTCTATAACAAGCAATCAAAGCCTCGTAAATGCTATTAATCAAAAAAGTGTTCAAGGACCGCCCGATTAAACATTGTTTCTGAGGAATAATCCTCCCAAAACATCATTAATTATGTCATGCTATGTAGCATAATAGATATCGTTACGCCTTGAAACTCATGCCTCCTTTTTCTTAGATGGCTCGAAATAGTAAGGAATTGGTTCTATGTTCTTAGTGGGCACGGGGAACCCATCGATCTCGTCCGTCCACGGGTTGCTCCTCTCCCTGCCGCCGACAGTCCTGATCGCCTCCCATATCACGCTGCTGCACTTGAAACCGGACCCGAACGCGATCTGCCACGCCCGGTCACCCCGCTTCATCTTCCCTTTGGCCTCGGCGTACGCCAACGCGTACCAGATCGAGCTGCTCGACGTGTTCCCAAACCGGTACAGCGTCATCCTCGATGCCTCCATGTGGGCCTCGCTCAAGCTGAGGCTCTTCTCGAGCTCGTCGAGCACTGGCTTGCCGCCCACGTGGGGGAACACGTGGTCCACGACCTTCTTGAAGTCGGGCACGTAGGGTTCGACGTTCGCCATGTGGAAGCGCCTCACTAGGCAGTTCGCGGCGTAGAGGATTTTCTCCGACATGGGGAGGATGAGGCGGCCGAACACGGCGATGTTGGCCTCGATGGCATTGATCGCCACCGCCATGAGGTCCTTGGTGATGGTGACGCCCACTTGGCCCCACGGGTCCTCCTCCTGGAAGATGCACTCGTAGGAGCGGTCCCAACGGGCCGTGTGCGTGTGCACGGTGTGGAGAAGCTTGTACTTGGCGATCCGGGCATCGGAAGGCCGGTTCGAGAGGAGGATCGCGGCCCCACCGACACGGAACAGGCAGTTGATGAGGGTCATGGAGCGATCATTGCCCAGGTAGGCATTCTCGGTGATGTTCTCGGTGCTCACGACTAAAGCATAAGAGTTGGGATGCACCTACATGAAAAGCCAAAAAAAGAAGCAGCAAAAATATCATGGTAATTTACGCATTAACAACATTAAAACTATTTTACATAATTAATTAAACAAAATTAGAACCAATTGCAATGGGACCGTCAGAGCTTCGCCTAGGCCAAAACGAAAACCAAGGAAGTACCCGACACACTTTTGCTCTTTAAACGGTCCGAAACCACTTTAACTTGCCTTACGACAAAAAAAAAATGTAGCCTCAAATGAGATGCATAAATATTGTGTTTCAGTTTAACCAGTTTTCTGAATGGCTCGCCCAATCTTAACGAATACACACAAATTGCTCCGTCCACGCATATCGGGTAAGGTTTTACCCATAAAGTGACAAGTATGTTAGCCAAGGTTTATATGAATGAGCTCTCATTGCCCTAGACGATTGTAGGCCTGATTAATGGACTGGTCAAATCTAGTATTGTGATTAAATCCTTTTCTAGATCCATCCATGTTTAGAAATTTGATTTTTTCTAAATAAAATCAATCTTATCGGGGGCGGAGCAAGTTTGCTTGGGTTACGAGCCTAACCAAGAATTTGTTTGTCCGGACCCCCACTTTTTGCTCTAAGCAAAGACCTTGGGCCTAATGGGCCATCAGATTATCGATCGCCTCCGGGGTTGAGCAACCAGACCGGCTTGATTCGAGAACCAAGCTGAATCAGCCGTACCCGACCGATACCAAGCCGGTTCACGAGGATTGGTTGAGCCAACATTGACTGGTTTGGTTTTTGGTTCTACTATATTAATCGGCTTTAAACCAGTTTCAAGGCGATTCTCTAGTAGGACTAAATGTGAACCAATTTCAAAGCCAGTTCTAATCCTCAGTTAAGTTTCTTCAACACTTTTTTCATTTCTCATTTAATTCAACATGATATGTGAAAATCGTCAACATTGTTAATCTCCCATGTATTTGGGGTACAAAAAAAATAGGCTGAATCCAGGGTCGACCGGTTTTATTCTTGATTTCAAAAATTGGGAACCGACTCCAACAGAGTAGGTTCTAAGTTCTAGGTTATTGGTTCTTACCTGCTCTAAAATCGACCACCCCTAATCATCTCTAGCCGATGAGATCCACTACAAAATCTGTTTAACCCACGTTTAAGAAAACCCACTTGCTATTTTTATTTTTTTGTAAAAATATGTTGCATGAGTATATATATTACACACGCGAAAAATTAAAGAAAAAAAAATACAAGTTTGATTCTAAATGTGGACGTACCAACAACGTGCTGATATTGAAGAGCACAGTGACACTTTTCAAAGAGAAAACAAAACCCACCCACGTGGGCGGACTTCAATTAGAGATGGTACAGAGCTATATTCATCAAACGAGGTTGACAAAATCGGACGGATATTGATGACTTCTTTCACCTACAGGATCATGGGATGATCTAGCGACGGACCAGACCCTTTCTAACACTCTTTGCCCGAAATGGAAAGGAACAATAAATGTTGAAACCACACCTATCAAGTGCTTCGTACGAGGACACTAAACATTAAAAAAGAACTAAACTGAGCATGTTGATGATACCGACTTTGAGTGTTGAGACGCCTCCTAATCCCATCATTAAACGTGGTTTAAGCAGAGAAACATCCCATGAAAGCATGTTGTTTTCTATTGCTAGTGATTCCAGTTCTTTGTTTAGCTTGAACTAATCTGGCTTTTAGTTGACAGATGCAACGTATTTGCACACCCAAAGAGAGTTTATCAAGCATGTTACCTGAAGCAGATTCTTGGCGAGACCTATAGCACCGAGCCCTGCACTGCAACCCATTCCTTGGAGGCTGTAGCTCAACACATCTTCCTTGAGCTTGTACCTGTTCACTATCATGGAAGATAGGGAAGGCACCACATTGAATATGCAGCAGTTCACCACCAACACCCCGATCTCATCCCCTCTCACCCCCGTCTTGGCCAACACCTCGTCGACAGCCCCGAACATAGCCGCCTCGGCCTCCTTCACTGACTCCTCCAAGCACGGGTTCGGGGGTTGCCGGAGCAGCGCCTCGGGCAGGTACGTCGACTCCCCAAGCCCCGACCGCTCCAGCGTCTTGCGCATGAAGTCGAGGGTCGCGTCCGAGAACTTCCCGTAGAGCCGGGCCTTCTCCATGAATGACTCTTTCGAGCAAGATTGGGCGTCGGGGGCTTTGTAACACACAAAGTCCAGCAAGAACACCTTGTTGGGGTATTTTGGCTTGAGAAGGGTCGCTAGGAAAAGGATTAGGGTTAGGCATAGGAGAAAAATTCCCGTGGAGTTGAGGTTGACATGTTCAAGAGTGAAGGTTGATATATCAAATGAAGACATTTTTTAGTGTGTGTGTGTTTGTGAACAAGTGAAGAGAGTGAGGGATCAAGAAGAAAACAATTTATGCTTGGGCATGTTGTGATGATGGTTGAGTGCAAGTGCAACAGCTCAAGTCCTTCCTGGGAAAATGAGAGAAGTAGGGTTTGTGTAAGAGGAAGGGACAAACATAAGAATAGGTTTCATTTATATAGTAGTCTAAAAGAGATGATGAGGGTTTTGGTATTAGTTTCCTTGCAGCCCTCGTCGGTCTCCAATCAATGATGTCCACTTCTAAACGACAGAGTTATGTTAAACTTACGTGACAATGAAAATGTGTTAACTTGCTTCTCATCGGTCTCCAATTAATGATGTCCACTTCCAAATGACAAAGTTACGGTAAACTTACGTGACAGTGAAAATGCATTAACTTGTATTCATTATACAATTTTCAAGACCTATCTACTTCAGCATTACTCAATTTTATCGTGTTCGAAATTCCTGACATATCTCTTCGAATCTCATAAAGATTAGATTTTAAGTCAATTTATTCGGAGAGATTCCATATGTAATCAATCATGTTTAACGTGTCACGAGCATAGAATTTAACCAATGCGACATGTTTTTTTTTTCTTTTTTTTTGTCCTTTGTGTAGATTTTATAATCGCCAGCTCAAAGATTGACCGTGTAGGTCGTTTTAATGGAGTTTGGCATTGTACGATTTGATACTTTTGTGAATATGTGTAGGCCGGTACCAGTTAGGTCTAGTAAATATCCGAAAGGATCTCTCTCTCTATTTTCTTGATAAGCTTTGTCCTATCCGACAACGCCAAAATGGGATTTGATGATATCTTTGCCATGTTCTTGTGAGACAATCCGTACCTCTGGTTTCTTTTTTCTCTTCCACTCTAAGCTCCCTGGAATTCTCAGTCGAGGGAGGCTCCATCTTCTTAACTCTAATTGAGATTTTCTCTCCCAATATGATTTGTGAGTATTTTATTAGTTTTATCTATTTTATTTTTTTTGTTTTTCCTTTGCTCGTTGTCAATGCTTTTCTCTGCTCGCTAGGCGTATCTTTCGCTTCCATCAATTGGAATCAACCCATTGTTGTAGATCCTCCAAACCAAAAAGTCTGACAGGGTCCAGAAGCAATACGATTCATACTAGACTGGAGGTGGTTATAAAACTTCTCCTAGTTTTGGAAGCTCTCATCTCTAGATCTTAATCTAGTTTTGGGAGCTAATCTTTCGCGATCTAGATTTAGTTCTAGAAGTTCCTTATAGGCGTATTTTGGGCTTGTTCAATCTCTCCTGATCTAGATCTAGATTTGGAAAGAGAAGGAGATTACAGTGTGTGCTCATGATGTAATATTCGATGATCGGCTGTCGTTCGTTCTGTTTTGATGCTGACACAGATCCATTCTTAAGGAATGAGAGTATACTTATCACAGCAGTTTATGCTTTATTATTGTACTTTGCTATTTGGGATTTGCTTTGTTTTGAACCTCTCGTGCATTATCTTAAGATATGAATGTAATATTTATTTTCTACAAAAAAAAATTATCTTTGCTATACTAATTTGCACCTTTAAACATTTATCTCTCTCCACAAATATTTGATAATCGTCTAGTTACTTTTTTCTAGACATGCATACGTGTGTGCTTTCTTGCTTACCTATGTTTATCGTTGAACTGACCACAAACAACTTTGCTGCGTCAGGTTATTTTGATGAAATGCTGATTTGAATATAAGAAAACTATATATGATGGTTCAAAATGGTGAGAAGAACACCTAAAAATGGACGATCGTCCATAGATCAATCAATCCTTAAATCCATATAATTCGATTATATTCATCCAAGAGAGAGAGAGAGACTTGACCTACGGCCGAGGAGAGGGAATGAGGCTGGCCGTGCGCGGCCATGATTGACGGCGACATCCACGAGGTTGGGCCTGGGGACTGACTTTTTGCACGCGAGAGAGAAGAGGAGAGGGAGAGGGTAGAGGAGAGAGATAAAAATAAGAGTTATTATCATGAAAAATCCAAAACTGATACACATGTGACAAATTTAATTCAAACTAATTTTTTGACCATCAAAAACCTCAAACTGATTTACCCTGAATAAATTTTTTGACCACCAAAAACCCAAAATTGATACATTTGTGATAAGTTTACCTTCAATTAAATTTGATTAATATCACGAAAAATCACAAAATGGTACATATGTGTCAGACGGAGAGTCAAAACCCCAAATTAATACGCCCGTCAACTAACATGTGTCATCCAACTTAGAAATTTGATGATAAAATTTAATAAAAACTAATAGATGACAAAATTATCACAGGTGTACCAATTTGGAGTTTTTCGTAGTTAAAAAATAGTTTTTGGTAAATTTTCATCATAAGTATACCGGTTTTGGGTTTTATGTGATATTAACCCTAAAACCACCCGCCTGGGTGGCGCCGCTAGAGCGCGCACTCTTCCTCTTGCAAAAGGTTGAGTGTTCGAATTCCAGATGCCGCAGGGTAACTTAACCGGTGCACGTGTGTGGTGGCTAGCACGTGTCGCCCCCAGGGTTTACCTCTCGGCTGTCGGCCGTGCGGGGGTTCCCTGGGTCATCAAAAAAAAAAAAACCCTAAAAATAATAATAACTACAGTTAGGTCTGTGTTTTCTTTTGATCGGTGGTTCATCGTTAGGAGTACATCAAAAAAATTAGTGTGAATGCGGCAGCTGTACGTTTCAGCTCCAACATTAACGTTGTGGGTTTGCCGTAGTAAAACTTTTTCCATAGGTAAACCCAATCAACAAGCGCAAATTGGGACCACAGTGTATTACTAAATTGAATCCGAACCATTAGAGATAATTGGTCCTACGTGAGCTCCACGTGAGTCCCGCAACATCTCACGGTCCAGAAAATTTGGTGTGCATCTCCTGCCATGATACATCGAACCCGCGAGGGCGGTCACATCCGTGACCGTGAATGCTTCGGCAAAAGTAGATTAGTTGGAAAAAAAAATCACGTTACCATGTGCAAAATCCTACGGCCTGTCTCAAATTTATGGTGGTGCAAGCGCTTTTCCTTTATAGGAGCAAACATTAGGTTTGCCAACGTACTCGAGTCTTGACCCTTCCCTAGTATTCGCCACAATTTGCCCAAACCCCATGAACACGAACCGCATCGTGTCGTAGATGGGGCCGGACCAGCGACCCACGTTCGCTCCATTGAGCCAACCTCATAAATACAAACTGCAAAATGTCGTAGATGGGGCCGAACGGACGAGGGATCTTCTTTCCTTCTTTCTCGGTCTTCCAACCAAAAAGAAGATGGTATCTTAATAGTGAAACCTCGGTATGCCATAATACAATAACATTAAAAGTTCAAAAACTCATGCGATTCGGCACTTTTAGTTCTACTTTGTTTTTTCATATGAATTCAATCCTAAAACTCGTTCTGGTTAGGCACTTTAGTCTTGTTTGGCCACTTTTTTGGTGGGTAGAAATCTATGTGGTATTTTTCATAAAATTAAAAAAAAAAGCTACGCGAAATTTTTTGTCCACGCAAAGAACAAATGAAACTAAGGGAAATCCAGAAATATGTGTTGCGTACAAGTTTCAGGACTCAAATACACGGAAAAAAATTAGGCATGACATGCTGAAACGGCACAAGTTATTGGAGTCGCGCGGTGATTATCTCCTTCTATAAAATTATGTTTAACTAGCATGATTTTGATTTCCCTGCACTTTTTTTTTTTATGTTTCAATCTTAGTCAGTTAGAGGTTTATTCAAATAGAGAATGGACTAAAGAGAACCCATGTTTGTTCCTTCAGTCCAAGTTGATAAATCTTTTCATGCAGCTGTTGAGATGTCACAACCAGTGAGATACGATCCTTGTATTCATTCACTAACCCACAAATCAAGCAATCAATAGGACGGGTAGAATTCTATCTTACAATTTTACCCTTGTTGACAATTATTGCCAATCGAGAGATAAAACTATGCTTTTTTGGGGATATTGCGAGACAGCAAACAAAATGTGGAGTATTTGCCGCTTATCATTGATATTGGCTCTAACTTAGGACTAACAAGAGCCATGGGACACACTTTTTGGATAGTGCCAAAAATTGCTGACACGGTGATCCAGTCAACACTAACCATCTTACGTGGTATGGCTAACGCTGACGTGGACAATTTTTACAATTTTCTTTTCTTTTCTCTTCTTTTTTTTCTTTTTCTTTTTCTTTTTTCTTTTTTCTTTTTTGTTTTTTTCCTCCACCGGCCATCATTGGGCCTCCTCGCCGGCCTCAGGCGACGGCCACCCTCGCTCGAGGTCGACGACCTTTGTCGGCCATCAACTAGGCCCAGCGATGGCCCGCAAAGGGAAAAAGGTAGAAAAGGAAAAGAAAAGGAAAATTAAAAAAATTAAAATTAAAAAAAATGGTGAAAATTGTCCACATCATCGGTGTCACATAGGACGGCCAGCACTGACTAAACCACCATGTCAGTGATTTCCGGCCAAAATTAGTTGGAATTACAAAATTGACAAATCGTCAAAAAGTTTAGGGTTTAGGTATAAATTGGCAAATCATTAAAAGGTTTAGACTAAATTGGCCAAATTGAAAAGTTTAGGACTGAATTGGCTTAAGTAATGTTGCATTATTTTGACATTTAAATTGAGTTTTTCCTCATTAAATTTCTTAAATAAAATATAGATAAATCATATTCATGGCAAGTTGCATTGAAAACAGATAAAATTTAATAAACAAATATAAATAAAACAGTTATATATAAACAAACATTTACTTATATTGGACTTATTTAGGCGTAAGAACACTATTTTTATATCTGAGGCAAGAACTTGAGTTCTTTGCAATCATGGATCATATTAGCCCTCACTAAGAAAAAAAAGATGGATTCGTCCTTCGCCATCGATCCGAGCTCCGGATTATGTCTTAATAATTCTATCATTTCTATGAATTTGTCTGATATTTCATGGACTGGGATTTACCTTCTTGAGATGACTTCTTGTCATAAACTTATTATATGAATGTTAATTTTGACCTAAAATTTTCAATTTTGTCAATTTAATCATAAAATTTTGGGCAAAATTATAATATAGTCCTTCCAGTGAATTTTTGCCGGAAATAGTTGATGTGGCGGTTTAGTCATTGACGGCCGTCCTACTTGG